CTCGCACAAAGGGAGCGGAACCGGAAACGGCCGCGCACGGCGCGCGGAGCGCCGGGGAGGAGCCGCCCGCGCCCGCCGCCGGCAGCGCCCCCTGCCGGAGGGGAGGACCGAGCGGAGGGGATTTGGGGGGATTTGGGGCGCTGAGGGGTTGGGGGTGCGGGAAGGGCGATCAGGGGTGGGAACGGGGACTTTGAGGGGTGGGACTGGGAGTACGGGATGGGCCCGGACGCTGGGAAGGGTTGAGGGGTGTCAGCCCGTGATTAAAGCCCCTGTTCCCTCGTCCTGGAGCCTCCTTTGCTCCGGGATGTGCTCGGAGGGAGGTGGGTTTGCCTCTCCCAGGGATGGAGGGCTCGGATGTGCAGGTGTGGCAGTGGCACCGCTCAGAAGAACTTCCCTCCATAACATTCAGGAGGAATTACTTCATGGAAAGGGCTCTGGAGCTACCCTGGGACATGGTGGAGTCGCCATCCCTGGAAATGTCCAGGGAACTATCGGGCATGGCACTCAGTGTTCCGGTGGGGATCAGTCACAATTTGGATTTTGTGATCTTTTCCAACCTCCGGGATTCTGGGATTTTAGGGACGAAGTTTATGGGGAAAACAAATGGCCATGAATGGGTCCAGTTTGTGCAGGTTGAGGCTGAGCACCAGGAAAATGATTCCTGTCTCCCCTGGGGTTCCACAGAGAGCAGGAGGTTGGAGTTAAAGGCCACTTTCTGCAAGTATTAACATTAAGTTCCTTTTCCCTGAAGCAGTTTCCCTTGCTCAGAGAGAAAAGGGACACAAATCCAGCATTAATCCATGGAAAAAGCCAAGTACGCAGTCACACCACGAGTATTAATTAAACAATTAATGATGATCATCTGATGAGCGCTGCCTGGGGGTCCCAGCACAGGGAGGAGCTGGAGCTGCTGGAGCAAATCCAGAGGAGGCACCAGGATGATCAGAGGGATGGAGCAGCTCTGCTGTGAGGAAAGGCTGGGAGAATTGGCATCGCCCAGCCTGGAGAAGAGAGGCTTTGGGGTGACCTCGCTGTGTCCTTCCTCCTTTCTCCTGCCCCGAGGGTTTTGGTGGAACAGTTTTGGAAATGCCTCCCCTGCACCTGCCCAGCCAGCCTGGCTCTTGTGGCATTGTCTCAGCGAGGGGGAACCGGGAATTCTGGCCCACGAGGGGAGGTGGTGGAATCTGGGCATCTGCACACACCCTGAGTGGATTGGATGTCTCTGGATCCCAAACGGGCTGAGGCTCCGTGGATCCTGAACGGGCTGAAGGTCCCCAGATCCCAAACACTCTGGCTCCTGATCTGGGAACAGACTGAAGGTCCCCAGATCCTGAACAGGCTGAAGCTCCCAGACCTCAAATAAACTGAGGCTCCCTGGTCCTGATCAGGGTGAGGCTGCCTGGATCCCAAACAGCTTCAGATTCAAACAGGCTGAAGTTCCCAGATCCCAAACACTCTGAAATCCTGAATCCTGATTAGGTGGGGCTGCCTGTATCCCAAACAGCTTCAGATTCAAACAGGCTGAAAGTTCCCAGATCCCAAACACTCTGAAACCCTGGATCCCGCCCAGGGTGATGTTCCCAGCCCACTATTTCTGTGATACGATGCTGCAATTGGAGTTTTGTGCCTGGAAAGAGCAGCTTTTGCACTTCCCATCCACGAGCCGCTGCCGGTGGTACCTGCCCGGTACCTGCAGGGGAATTTCAGCGTTTTGGTGCCCGTGGGGCTCAGCCACTTCCCCCGAGCCCTCCCGGAGCCCTCGCTCGGCCGGGCTGTGACAGATGGACGGGGTGACCTGCTGCCAGCACAGCCAGCAGCTCCAGCGGGGATTACAGCTCCGGGAGCCGGGGATGCCCGGGCAGGGAGCGGGCACCTCTGCCTGTAATTAACCGCGTTCATTAACGCCCTCCTGGCCCGGCCGTTCTCCTTCAGATCCCACCCCTCGGCATTTACAGCTCCAGCTCTGGCCGGGAAGCAGCAGAGCAGGGTGAGATTGTGCTCGTTGAGATGCAAAACATTCCTCTGCCATTTCCAGGAGTCAGGGGACGTGGTCGGAGCCAAGGCACCGGGGGGAGGACCGGGGTGTTGGCATTTCAGCCTTTCCTGCCCACTCCCACTCCCTATTATTCGGTCTCCATGGAGTCCTCAGGGCTTTTTTTGGATGCCCGCTGTTGGATCTGCTTTGGTGTTACTTTTTTTGCTCTTTGTAGCTGGAAATTTTTAGGACAGAAAGTGTGTTTATATTTTGGGTTGTGCTCCTGCCAGGGTGAAATTCCACCCGTTGGACCTCAGGTGTGTCCCAAAGCACGGAGATGTTGGGGTTGTCAGGGATTAACAGCTCTGGGAGTGTTAATTCTCCTTTCCCTGCCCGGGAGCAGAAATCAGCTCCCTCCTCCAGCCCTGTGTGTTCCTCGGGAAGGCAGCGAGGCTGGAGCTCATCCCGGAGCTCCCAGGAAAGGGAGGCTCAGCTCTGACCCAGGGCACACTCTGCCCGTCCCAGGCTGCACTGAAATCTGGCCCAAAGCTTTTTCCTCCCCCTCTTTTTCCTCTGGCTCCTTCGGGATGAGCCTGTCCCCACCTGCCTCCTCGGGGGAGCATTTCCAGCAGCTCAGCAAGAGAGAAAGGCTCGGCGTGGGGGAGTTATATCATTTATATCATTCTTTATATCATCGTTGTTAAGAGTAGCAGGTATTGATGTACAATGCATCTGTCATCTTATTGTGCTTCCTATGAAAATGTGTGTACATAGTACAGATACCGGAGAGAATTCCACACTTTATACACTTGAAGGCATTCAGAGATCAGTAACAGAAAAAAATAAAAATGGCACAAGAACAAGGCCTAAATGCTACTGGATGGGTATCTACACTGGCATGATGCATATAGATATATATATATATATGTACACATATATATATAGTCATATATATTATATATAAGAAATATAAAATGCCGATGACATAATAACAAAAAAGCGTTTTCTTCAACAGGTGAGCCTCAAGGTCAAATCCCAGCCCCATCTTTAAAAGCTTGAATGGGAAAGAGAAAGAAAGAAAATAAATAAATGAAACGAGATGAAACATTAGGAGAAATCCATAAGAAAATTTATGGATGTGGCCGACCCGTCGTCTTTGGGTGATCGCTGGATACAAAGGACTGACCCCCAGTTCCTAATTTTGGTCAGGAAGCAAAATAATAAGAATAAAAATGACAAGAATAAAAAAAACCAACAAAACTGCAGTTTAGAAAAAAAAAAAATACTAAAAAGACTTATTGCAAAAGCTCTTAAAGATAAGTAGCACTTGGGCCCGGGGAGGGCTCTGGCCTGGGGGCTGGGAGATGGGGCTGGGGGATCAAATGGGGACCCTGGAGGGGAGAGCTGGGCACTGACAGGCCATGACCCAGTGGCCACGGAGCCCAGCCAGGGCAGGGCTGTGCCAGGGAGGAGCAGTGATGGCACTGGGAACCCACAGACACCCCAAACCCACAGACATCCCAAACCCACAGACACCCCAAATCCACAGACACCCCAAACCTACAGATTATCCCAAACCCACAGACACCCCAAACCCACAGACACCCCAAACCCACAGACACCCCAAACCCACAGACATCCCAAATCTACAGACACCCCAAACCCACAGACACCTCAAACCCACAGACATCCCAAACCCACAGACACCCCAAACCCACAGACATCCCAAACCCACAGACATCCCAAACCCACAGACACCCCAAACCCACAGACATCCCAAACCCACAGACACCCCAAACCCACAGACACCCCAAATCCACAGATCATCCCAAACCCACAGACATCCCAAACCCACAGACATCCCAAACCCACAGATCACCCCAAACTCTCCAGGGCAGTGGCAGCCCTGGGAACCCACAGACACCCCAAACCCACAGACACCCCAAATCCACAGATCATCCCAAACCCACAGACACCCCAAACCCTCCAGGGCAGTGGCTGTTGGGGCTCAGCAGGGCTGGAGCTGCGGCCCCAGAGCCCCCTGTGAACCCCAGGGGGGGTTGGGGCTCCGGTGCCTGCCCAGCCACGGCCGTGCCAAGGGGGTGTCCCCAACTGGGCCGGGCTGGGCACTGTGGCCAGATGGGGCCAGGGATTTCCTTCTGCCTTTGTCCCCGAGGATGGCTGGGTTTGGGGCGGCCAGGGGATGGGAGGGACAGCAGGGCAGTGCTGGAACTGGAACTGCCCAGAGCCCAGGAGGGGTGGGCAGGGAGGGACAGTGCCCGGTGTCCTCAGAGCAGAGGTGGCACCTCCCAGCTGAGCCCGCTCCGGTGCTGCCGGGGCTGATCCCGGGATTGATCCCAGGGTTGATCCCGGGGTTGATCCCAGAGCAGGGATCAGGGAAGACGATCTGGACAGGTGGAGGTGCCGCGTCTTCGTGCCGGGAGCTCCCGGGCGAGCCGGGGCTGCGGTCCCAGGGGACAGAGGAGCTCTCGGGGACTCCGTCCCTGCTGCCCCGAGCTGGGCACACCAGGGGCTCCCCAGGATCCCCCCACCAGGCACCGGGGGCCCGGCAGGCACGGCCAAGGCATTGGAGTAGGATGAGCATGGAGACGACGGAGGACAGACGGACAGGGCTGTGGATGGAGACTGCGGCCGAACGGCTGCTTCTTCTTGGCTTCTGGGTTTTAGTTAAAAAGGCCGAGGGGAGCCAAGGGGGAGCCGGGGCAGGCCCGTGCCCTGGCCCACTGTGCGTGTCGCTCCCGCTCCGCGGGACGGCCGGGCTGGAGCATCCTGGAGTCTCTGCAGGAGCAGGGCAGGCGCGGAGCAGCTGCCGCGGGGGCTGTGCCGGGGTCTGGCATTGCCCGACCCCACTGCCCGCCCCGAAATCCGAGGCCGTCGCTCTTGTCCGTGTCCCACCGTGCCGAGGAGCAAAGGCCCCCTGGATGTGTCTCTCCGCTGGCACCGGCGGGGAGAAGGGCAGCTCTGGCAGGGCTTTGGTAGCTCAGGTTGTACATCCAGACGTCGGTTAGCAGGTGAAGTCCTCAAAGGTGCCCCGGGCCGGGTGGTGAGGTAGGATGTTGGCTGCGTACGTCATGCCTGCTGGGTGCCCCCGTATGCTTTCACAGGGATTCTGCGGGGTCAAAGGGTGTTGGGGCTGCTGATTTCATCGTGCAGAGACCCAGCGCCATCCCCCCGCAGCATCCCTGCCTGGGCCCTCTGCTCCTTTGCCAGGAACTCCCCAAAATGGTGACAACTCAGCCCACGGCACCTCTTGGGCTGCCCCCGAGCTGCAGGAGGGGACAGGCAGGAGGGGACAGCAGGAGGAGACAGCAGAAAGGGACAAGGAGGAGGGGACAAGGAGGAGGGGACAGCGGGAGGGGACAAACAGGAGGGGAGGGGACAGCAGGAGGGGACAGCAGGAGGGGACAAGGAGGAGGGGACAGGACAAGGAGGGGACAAGGAGGAGGGGACAGGCAGGAGGGGACAAGGAGGAGGGGACAGGCAGGAGGGGACAGCAGGAGGGGACAAACAGGAGGGGAGGGGACAGCAGGAGGGGACAAACAGGAGGGGACAGTGCTGTGCCCCACACTCACGTGGCGCTTCACGTCGTCCATGCTCAGTGCAACCCCCTTGTCTGTGTTGTTCCTCTTGTGGTTCTTGCGGCACTTGCCCCGCCGGCACAGCCGGTGCTTGATCACCTGCCAGAGCCACATTTCAGCACCGTGGGGCTCATGGGTGGCCCTTCCCCATGTCCCACACGAGCACAGCCGTGGGATGGAGGAATACTCACCTCATAGGCGTAGTCAAACAGCTCCAGCACGGTGAGGATGCTGGCGCCAATGAACAGCCCCATCTGGCCGCCAATGTCACCTGCAGAGGAGAGGGAAGCCATCAGAGGGGTGGCCTGAGCCCAGGGCTGGGTGGCAGTGAGCAGAGAAAGGGACAGAACTTGTCACCACTGTGACCAGTGCCTGGTCGTGGCAGTGGGGTGCCCTGCTCCAAATCTGTGCCTTGGGAATGGATTGTGGTGACAGGGCCAGCACGAGACCACCTCACTGAGGGACTCTGGCTGGGGACTGTCCCAGGGCTCCCCACAGCNCTTCTTCTGCTCGATTGTCTCGTAGTTCAGGGCTTCGAAGAAGATATCCAGCACCAGGATGTTCTCCCTGCAGGACAGAAGGGACATCAGGCTGAGGTTTGGGATGGAGGGATCAGACCCTGCCCTGCTGCCACGGCCACAGCTCCTTACCCAATGTACTGCTCTGATTTGTTGTACTTCTTGGCCAGGTATTTGGCCGAGGCCTTGCTGGGGATCTTGACCATGGAGAGCTCTTTGCCGTAGCGGGTCATGTTGCAGGGCATCTCACAGATGCAGTACTCGTTGTCCTTCTCCACCAGGAAATCTGTGCAGGGAGAGAGGGGCGTGGTGAGATGGAGAAACCCCACCCCAACCCCGCAGCTCCATCCCGCAGGGCCGGGCAGCCTCACCTAAAGCCGGATCCGCGCACTCCTTGTACTGCTCCGGGGTGCAGTAAGGGGCATCGCCTGCGGAGACACAGAGCAGGTTTTGCAGGTGGGACCACAGCGGAGGGCTGGGCTGGGGCCAGGCCAGGTGTGGAGCTCACCTGGCATGTGCACCATGCGGCAGTTGCAGTTCTCCACCAGGTAGCGGGTCTCGCAGTCGATCCGGCACGCCGTGATGCTGTAGGTGTCGTAGAACTCCGAGTCGCCCGCCACGGCCTTGCAGTCGCCCCAGGGAGGGGGCAGGTAGATGAGCTGGGAGGGGAGAGAAGCCAGCAGTGAGGAGAGAAGCCCTCAAAGCGTGGCAGGGGACAAACACCCTCGTGGGTCCCCAGGACCGGGTCCTCCTCTCCATCCAGTGTGGGGACAGTGAGGAGACTCTGCTCCTGCAGCACAGGGTGGGAGGGGACACCCCACACCTGCCCAGTCCCTACCCGCTGCTCCTGGCAGGACACAAAGGTCTGGAAGCCTGGAGCCACCCCGAAGCCCAGCTGGTCGATCAGTGGGGGCTCGTCCTGGCTGTGGATCTGCACTTTGATCCCGGCTTCGAACGAGGTCTCGTCTGTGGCAGAGAGAAACGGGGTGAGCACAGCACTGTCCCTGCTCCGAGGGGCTGTGCCCAGCCTGCTGTGAGAGGGGACCACAACTTCTGCCTCCCACGCTTCCCCTGGGCCAAGCCATTCATCCACGTGTCCATCCATCTGTCCATCTGTTTGCTGCACCCTGTCCTTGCCCCCTCCCACCCCGACCCTTCTGCTCCACACCCCGGAGTGTGGCAGGGAAAGTATTTGCCTCTATTTATAAACAAGTGATGGCTGCGTGTCTAAACGATGGGGAGTTGCCATGGCAAAGAGCAAAGACAAGGAGAAAAAGGGAAAGAAAAGAGCAGAAGTGGTGAGAAATGGAAGGAGGGAAGAGAATGGAGCCTCAGGGATGTGGATCTGTGGTCTGGGGGAGCTGGGAAGGGGCTGGAGTGGCCTGCTGGGGCAGTGGGTTACCTGTTTCCCCCCACACTGGCAGGTACTCGTCCTGCTGGATGTCCAGCATGATCTCCAGGCCATTGCCAGTGCCCCCCTTCATGGTGATGAGCCGGGGCTTCCCGTCCTGCCCCGCATTGAAGGTGTAGCACTTCCCGTAGCGGGTGAAGACCTGCAGGAGAGGACGCAGGGCTGAGGCTGAGGCCCCTCTGTGGAGCCGGGAGAGCATCCCCAGCCCCAAAACTCAGCCTGGGCATGGTCCAACCCGGGCTCCTGACCCACGGGATCTCTCAGGGTTGGGACTGCCCATCCTGGCCCTGGTGGAGGAGGAGATGTTCCCACTCAGAGGAGATCCTGCAGGTTTACAGCACCCCAGAGAGCCCAGGGCAGCTGTGGCTCGCCAGGGTGGTAACACTCAGCCTGATGCCTGCACCAAGCCCTCCTCCATCCCTGCAGAGGATGAGGCTGGACGGGATCCTGGACCCCCCCATCCCTGCTTGGCCGTTCCAGCTCTCACCTTTGGCAACCAGCACGGCCCCAACCCCACAGAGCCTGGGCAAGGGGCACATGAGGGCAGTGAGCTCGCACCACATGGTGCCCCACAAACCCTGATGGCACCAGCACGGACGTGCCAGGCACCTCCTCAGCCAGCACAGCCCTGGGCACACACTCCTAGGATCTCCACAGCCGATGCCAGCCCCAGCCATGGCAGATGGGGCTGAAATATCAGCCTGTCCCTGAGCAAGCTGCAAGGGCAGCATCACCTGATCCGACACCGCTCAGCTCCGGAGCTGCTCGCCGTGCTGGGCCACCCTGGGGCTACTCACCGGAGCAAAGTCCCCGGGGCCGCAGCGCTGCCCGCGGTAGCTGCAGCTCAGCAGCATGTCCTCCAGCTGGTGGCAAGTCCGGTTAAAAAACCCGTACAAATTGAGGGGCTCGTCCTCCTCCCAGGGGCTGGGCCGGGCTGGGGTAAAGCCCAGCTCCATCCCAGGCTCGTAATCCACCAGGGGGGCCAGGTAGAGCAAGTCCTGGTGGCTGAGCTGCGAGAGCCGCACGCGGTTGATGTTGCAGAAGGTGACGGCCGGGAAGGTCATCTCGGGGCTGTCCTCCTCGCTGAGCAGCGTGACGTGGTGGTACTCCAGGTAGTAGGCGATGCGGTCAGCCACCTGGTAGAGGAAGATGGAGAGGGAGAGGAGGAAGGCCAGCGCCCACAGCGCCTGCCGGGCGCCCAGGCTGCCCTCCACGAAGATGTGGCTCAGCCCGTGCAGGGTGCAGCTGCTGGCAAAGGCCACGAAGTCTGTGGTTGCCCCTGTGTCCTCCTCGTCCTCTTCATCCTCCTCCTGCCCGTACAGGAACTCGTCTGCTCCATCTTCTCCCTTCTCAGTGGCTGCAGCATCTTCTGGTCCTTCCTCGCTGGAGAAGGAGATGGTGCAGAATATCTGGAGAGGCATTGCCCGATCTGGGGGTCCCAGCCGTAGTGTGGAGGTCCTGGCTCTGGTATGGGGGTCCTGGCCCGTGTCCTGCCCCAGCCTGGGGGTCTTCAGTCAGTTCCTCGGTGGAGAGGGGCTGGGACAGCAGGGGAGTGGGAAGGGGCAAATTCAGAAAGGAGAAACGGAGAAGGGAAAAGGAGTGAGGCGAGCGGGAGTGAAGGAGAGGAGCAGAGGGATGCTCGGAGAGGCCGGAGCGAGGAGGGTATTTCAGGAGCAGAAGGAGGGGAGGAGGAGCGAGGGGCGGTTCCGGAGGCTCCCCAGGCCCCCTGGGACCGGCCAGCTCCGGCTGCCAGGACCGAGCAGAGACATCACCGGCTCCAGAAGCGCCGTGGGAGCTCCCAGTGCTGCCCGGGGACCCGAGGGGCTGCCAGGCTGGGGGCACACGGTGTGTGCAGGTGTGCAGGTACCCGGTGCTGCTTCCCCACTCCGTGCTCTCCATCCTTGCGTGGTCTGGCCCTGGCAGCCCGAGCTGCTGCTCCAGCCAGGCTCAGGCTGTCCCTGCTGGGTCCCCGGCTGTCTCCAGAGCTGCCCTGGGCCAGGCTCTCTGCACTCGTCCCCAGAGTGGAGCCAGAGGTTTTCCCCAAATGCCTGTGATGCTGTCCTGGTGGTGGGAAGGATGCTGTGGTGTCCCCAGGCTCCTCCAATGCTCCTCCTGCCCTGGCAGTGCCCATCCCTGCAGGGCACTGGCGTGTGCACATGAGAATCCAGCAAGTCCAACGTTCCCAGTGGTGTGAGATCCATCCTCCTCCAGCAGGGCTGGTCTTGGCAGGATTTGGGTTCTGTCCAGGCAATGAATCCTTCTGCAGAGCCCAGTCAGTGCTGGGCACATCACCTCGTGCTTCAGATCCCGGTGGGGCACAGGGAGCCACCTCTTCCCTCAAGGAATGGCATCCAGCCGGGCTGGGGGTCCTGGGGAGCAGCTCTGGTGCAGGGTGCTGGGATGGAGCTGGCAGCTGCCAGGAGCACAGGCAGGCGTCTCCTCCCTGCAGCAGCGCAGCCCCTTCTCGTGGTTTGCTGTTTTCCTGTGCTCAGCACTTCATAAAAGCATCCAGAGACCACAGAGCAATCTCCAGCCCCATCCCGGCTCTGCCATCACCAGCCCGGGGGGAGAATCTAAATCTGGCAGCACTTGGATGTGCAGGGGCTGGAGGGGAGGTTTGGGCTGGTGCCTGGGTGGGAGAAGCTCACCCCAAGCCCTCAGTTCAGCTGCTGTGTCTCCTTCCCCGTGCACCCTGCAGGGTTCCCGGTCCCTGAGCACATCCTGGTGCACATGGACACCCCAAATTGGGAGAACAAATCAGTCAGGAACTCTGTAAAAATCTGCTCTGATACCAGCACAGTTATCTGAGATTCCTGGGGAGGTGATGCCGCTGGAACAGGCACTGCCAGGGACAGGGGGTTGTCCCATCCTGGGGCTCCCCAAGCTCAGGGCCTTGGGTAAGAGGGACCCTGGCAGATGCCACTTGGGGACCTGGGAGAAAGCGTGGATGACCTTGGGGACGAGTGCCAGAGCCACGGGATGAAATTTCATCAGGCCAAGATCAAGGTTACACCTTTTGGGAGCATCCCAGAGAGTCTGAGATGAAAACTCCTCCTGGAAAAGAGACTCAGGAAGGTGGATTGGGTGGCTGGGAGCCGCCAGGACGTGGGGGCCAGGTCACAAGTGCCCCGTGTCTTTGATGGGGATGAACTGGAGCTGCAGGGCAGGGCTGTAACAGCACCAGGGCTGCTCCTGGGAGGGAGTTTGGAAAAGTTGGGCTGGTCCAGGCCTGTGGGAGCAGGCTGGGAACACACTGGGCTGATCCCACACAGACTAGGACTGGAGGATGCTCCTGACAGGGAGGGGCAGGCAGGAGCTGTCTGGGGTTGGGATTTCTGGTGCTCCCAGCTCCGGCACTGGGTTCCTGTGCCATGGCTGTGAGCGGGGAGAGGAGAAGGGAAACGGAATTAAGGAATTGCAGGTTGAGGGGGTTGTTTAACCCCGGCACGACTCGCACAGGTGAGTTTGCTGCCCGGGGCCATCAGCCAGACCCCGCTGGTGCGAGCGAGGGGAGCTTTAATGTGTCTTCTTGGGAGCAATTGCAGCAGAGAGAGAGAGAGAGAGAGAGAGAGAGAAAAAAAGAGATGCTGTAATGAAAACATTCCATCATCGACTGGGGCCATTAACCTGCTTCGCTCGGCTTAAACAGCTCGCGGGGAGCGCCGGGGCCGGTTCCCAGCAGCCGCGTGGGGAGGGAGGACGAGCAGGGCCCGGCTCCGGTTACCGGCACCTGTCCCAGCATCGACACCCGAGCCGGGGTGAAGGTGACCGGGGACAGCCGCAGCCCGGAGCACGGTGGCACCAGCGCCAAGGGGAGCGTGTCCTGACCCCCGAATTGGGGACAAACTGGGGACATAACGCGGCCGTGTGTTGCAGGCAGGGGGGTGCCGTCCTGGTTTGTGCAAGTTTTGGAGATGCTGGAGGAGTCCTTGGGCTCGTTCCAGCTCCTCCTTCGCCGGGAGTTATTTTTACCCTCTCTCAGGTAAAGCCTTGGCGGGGGTGAGGGACGGGGGATGCTATAATTAGCCGTGACATCAGCCCCCGTGGCGGGTGCTGGGATGATGCTGCCACACCCGACCCGAGGGGACCAAGGATGCTCCGTGCCCTCCTCTCTCCGCCCTGCTGAGACATGAGGGATGCGAGAAGGAGATGAGTTTTTTTTCCTGCTTCCAGCACCGTGTTTGGCCGCTGTCCCGGGCCGGTTCGGCCCCGCTCGCTGCTCTGCAGCTCCTCACGGGCCTGGGAAAGGAGGTTTCCCGGAGCGGGGGAGCACGGAGGCGGCGGGGGGGGAGCGGGAGCGGGATTTGACGGCAGCAACAGCACATTTCACAGCCTGTCACGCTTTAATGGCAGAGGAGATCAAAGCCGGGATGGAGTTATTCATAGAGATAAACCAATCCCCGAGGAGGCGAGGAGAAAACAACATTGCAAGCTCTGTTATCCCAGGTCTCCCAGCCCCGGGGAGGCTGTCGCCGAAAGCGCCCCGGGAGCTGGACCCGCTCGGTTTTGTGACGGGCATTGCCCGTCCCTGCCAAAAACTGCCTGAGCTGCCCACGTCATCCCTGGGGGTGCCCGGAGGTCGGAGCTGGCTGCTGGGAAAGGATGGGATGAGGTGCGGCACGTGGGGGTGGATATTTGGGGCAGAGGGAGACCCCACATCTGTGCTGTCCTTCTCCCACCACGCACCCGGGCGTGCGAATCGAAAGGAAGAAAAATGAGTTTTTTCCACGTGTCTTGGCCCAGGGATGAGCTTTGCAGCTCCCAAAGCTGCCAAGATGGTGATGGAGGCACCGGCAGCGCTGCCACCGCCGCTCCGGGCGGGATGAGCCGCTCTGGGACGGCTCCAGGGCTGCAGATCCCTCCCTGACCCTGGCGAGAAACAGAGCAGAGGCGGCCAAGCAAGGTGGGATTGCCCGGGCAGGCGGGATCTGTGCCGGGACTAATCCTGCACCCCTTATCAGATGCTGCCACCTTGCCTCGGCTCGCTCCGCCAGCCAAGCCGGGCGCAGCTTGTGTTATCCGGCCCTTTATCCCCCAGATTAGACGCTTCACAGTGGATTAGCATGTCACATTCTAATGCAGAAAAATTGATGATTAAAAAGGAGGTTTTTTTCCTCTGTATTATTCCCCACCTCCGCCTCC